GTTTTGTCCAAGTACTTAACATATGGGCCTTATGGTTTTCCTAATGTCATTCAAAAAGAGAGAATGCTCTGAACATGTAATTCTTAAATAACTGATTGTAGAAAAGTGAAGGTTAAAAGACAATAGAGAGTTTGAATGGCAGGTAAAACATTAAACGGCATAAATTGTTTATCAAATGATTGGAATTAATATTTTAATCAGATTTGTTGCCAGTTTTTCATGAGTGATTAGATTTGAGTGCATTTACTGTGGAGTTCATCTGCAAACAGCATAGGCCTGATATTCCATTGCATAATGCATAGAGAGACAGATCATGGTCTGTTTTCTAACAAACTACAAAGACCCAGATCTGCTGGGACTTTATGCAATGGCAGATCTTCTGGGTTGTGCTTGAAGAATATACATTAGTGCCTATGGATGTGTTTTAATTAACATTATTTACATCACAGCATTACATGACAAAGTCTTCTGCAAGACAGATTATAAATTTATTACCTCGTTAACACAGAATTTTTCTTCCCCATAGCAAAAAAAATGTCTTCTTAAAGTTTCATTTGGTCGATATTGGCTTATTTTGGGGTTTTTTAGGGGTTGGGGTTTTTTTGTTTCATTCTAGATTTAATAGATCTCAAACTGTAATTGCAGTCATGCATGAACTAGGAAAATATTTTTTATGTTGATCATTTAAATAAGTTTACTAAATTGTGTCATAAAATTCATTTGGTCGGTAAATACATTTTTTTTATTTGGTGTAACAAGTATTAGTTAGTTTCACATGACTTGATGCAGAAAACCGAAAGTTTATAAAGCCAGAAAAGGAACTACTTGTGTATTTATGTGCCATTCTTAGCAATAGTTGTACACAATGGTAAAAATGTTTTTTATTTCTTGAGTCATTTTTATTTTTATAATTATTTGTAATCATAAGAATGTAACCTCATATTTATATGATTTATGAAGTTGTTAAGCTTGAGAGTGATTACTCACCACTTGAATGGCACTCTACAGTAGGGTGAAAAGTTATTTCACAATATATGAATAGTACTCTCTTCATATATAGTACTCTCCATTCATGTATAGTACTCTCTTCATTAATGTAATGTGTAATCAACATGTTAGCTTGAAAAGTGATTACATAGTACATGATGATGAATATCTCTCTCTAGAGTCATTCATGCAGTGTGTAATCAAGGTTTAAACTTGAATAGTAATTACACAGTACTTTATTGTCTCTCTTTACAGTCATACATGCAATGTGTAATCAACATGTTAGCTTGAAAAGTGATTACATAATACATGATGATGAATAGCTCTCTCTAGAGTCATTTATGCAGTGTGTAATCAAGGTTTAATCTTGAATAGTGATTACACAGTACTTTATTGTCTCTCTTTACAGTCATACATGCAATGTGTAATCAACATGTTAGTTTGAAAAGTGATTACATAATAAATGATGATGAATAGCTCTTTCTAGAGTCATTTATGCAGTGTGTAATCAAGGTTTAATCTTGAATAGTGATTACACAGTACTTTATTGCATTTCCTTACAGTCACACATGCAATGTGTTATCATTGTTTAATTTTTTTATAGCAATTGCATACCACATTAATGCTCCACTATAGTCATTCAACAGTGTGTAATCTACATTTATGGTTGAATAGTAATTACATTACACATTACATTATTGACCCTCTCTGCAGTCATTCATGCAGTGTGTAATCAATGTTTATGGTTAAATAGTAATTACATTACACATTACATTATTGACCCTCTCTGCAGTCATTCATGCAGTGTGTAATCAATGTTTATGGTTAAATAGTAATTACATTACACATTACATTATTGACCCTCTCTGCAGTCATTCATGCAGTGTGTAATCAATGTTTATGGTTAAATAGTAATTACATTACACATTACATTATTGATCCTCTCTGCAGTCATTCATGCAGTGTGTAATCAATGTTTAAGTTTCATGACCACATGAATTCTGTCAAATTTGATGCTCGAAATGAAGGTGTTACTGCATAAAGGTACAAGAAACAATACTGCTTAAAATTAATATTTAAAAAAGTGAACATTTCATTACATTTTTAAAAAATCTACTTCTATTCTGTACACTTTTTGCCGGAATGATCATGGAAACAATTTAAATGTTTTTCTTACATTGGTATGCTGTAACAGAAAGTCTGTCATAGATTTTGTTGATAATTACAGACCTGCTGATACTTATAAAACAAGAAGTTGGCATCAAGTGCTATGCAGCAGTATCAGCAGTTGTACAAATGCATCATAGCAATATGAATAAATTAATACTGTAAAATAATGATAATAAGCATGTATGGTAAATATTTAAATATGTTGAGGTCTTATTTATTTATCTGTATTATGCGTGTTTGGGGCAAAATGCATCTTAATGCATGATGATTAAGTCGGGGAGGGGTTATTGGGGTGGGGGTGGGAGGGCAGTTTTAAAACATTGGCTGTATTGTGATAAGGAAATGGGAGAAAACTACCTCTTCCAAGGCAGCCAACTTAAGCTGGCACAACTGGGTATTTAACCTAGTACCTTTAGAGTATGAGTCTGATGCCTTACCATATTGCTAACACATTACTTAACAGTGGATTACCACAAAGATAGAAAAGGAATAAAGCATAATTCATCAATAGTTTCAGTTATCAGGTAAATATCAATCATTAAGTTTACAAAATTTATTGTGGCATCTTTCTGGTTATACTTTTTTATAATTCATCAATAGTTTCAGTTATCAGTTGGGTAAATATCAATCATTAAGTTTACAAAATTTTTTGTGGCATCTTTCTGGTTATACTTTTTTATGTGGTTATTTTTGACTCAGAATGCCCTAAGATTCATACATATTTATTGTCAGGATTTTACAGTATAAAGTCTTGCCAAGTGAACAGTGTTCAAGGGATATTTTTGTCAAATATTTAAACATTATCTATACAGAAAGATAATTATTGAAGATGTTTTTGTAAGTTTTAATGGCACTTTCGTTTTCGTGTTTATCGTGTTATAATGAGAGTTTTAAAATGATTTCATTTTTTTTTTCCACAACAGTTAAATGTACATACTGTAATAAGAATGTTAATATCAGTTGGATGTGCTTTGTAAAGCTTTTGGTAAAGTTTTCCATCTTTTCCTAGAAAATTCTCCTCAAATTGGTGCCAATATTTAGCCCCAAACCAAGCTCAGATTTTTGTATTGGATCACATGATGTTCTGTATGTTTGTACATGTGTATGTATGTATGTCTATACATGGAGAGTGTTAACAAATGACTTTGGAACGAGTAATATTCTTAAAGAACTACATATGGGTATGTATATGGTGTTGTTAGTATGGATCTCTAATGATGAGTTTAAAGTGACGAATTTCGCTTTTTGATATTATGAGGACAAAGTGACTACAGCGAGCATTTATGCAGTCTTCTAAATGCCAGACATTTTCCTTATAGTTAGTGTTTTACCATATCTCCAGTAGGTTTAGACTAAGGTAGTTGTTTTGCTTACTCATGATTAAACTGCATTGGGTAAAGCAGATCAGGGTCTATGTTGTTTGTTCTACTGATTATTCCTACCAACTGCATAAACTCAGATCTGCCAGTGCAGGGTCTATGCATCAGAATATAAATTCATATCTGCAACAGGTGAGAAAAAAGTGTCTTTTAGACTAGATTTGATAGCAAAATGACCCATGTTGTTGACTCCCTGCCCTAGTTGTTGACTCAATGTCCCAAAGTATCACCAAGTTAACTTTTATATGATGCACACAAAAAACAAACAGCAATTAGAACGTCCTTGACCTTTTCTGTCACATGCTAGGAAAGATGTAGGTAAATAATGGCAGTTTTAACAGCGCAAATATTGATTGTGGTTATGTGATAATAATAACTTCACTGATGTCACAACGAGTTGATATGTCACTGCTAATAGCAATGTAAATAGCCATCATTTCTTCATTTTTTAATTTAGAAGTTTATTTTTATTTAGATTTTATTGATTGTTTAAACATCCTCCAATGTTAATTTTGGTGCCAGTATTTCATTATTAGGATCTAGGTGTCTTGGGAGATATTCACATAGCAAATACATAACCGATTTGGGAAATATCATGATTACCCCTAAGTCTCAGAGGGTCAAAAATATTGCACTTGCATTGAAAATTGACCACGATGTTCTTACTGCAGTTGACAGCCAAATATTCACTCTCTCAGAATAATATGCACCTGCAGGTCGAAGTCTATGCATTTGTACCTATAATGCTAAAATAAACATAAAAAACAACAAAAAATGGCATTTGATTTTGTTCTGCTGGTGTACTACACGTCGGCAGATCTAGGCCAGTCATCTTCATCATTTATATTCATATCTCCAGGCTGACTTTTGGCATCATGGGTTCTGAGTCGTGTGTACATTAATCACGTCTCTCATTGAAAAAGTGTTAGTATATACAGAGCTATTGAAGAGTTTTAATATTTAGTTGGAATATGTCTGGTGTTTAGGTGGAAGTTTGAGTTGTCATTTTATCTTTTTATGAGGATATTAATGTATTATTGTGACTAGCTGTGTGTGTGTGTGTGTGTGTGTGTGTGTGTGTGTGTGTGTGTGTGTGCAGCCTAAGTAGGCATGTGCACTTGTTCATGTATGTGTTTGATGTATTTTGTAATTAATGTAGTATATCAAGGCATGTGTAAGCTAATAAATTTCAAATTAATGTTTCCAGATTTTGTTTCATTTCTTCTACGTGAAGCTGCTGCAGTAGTTATCTTGCATTTTTCTATTCATGTGAGATTTTATGCCATACACCAGGCATTGCTGTAGTCTTCCTCAGGCTGACGAAAGTGTTTGTTTATCTGCCATTACTTATAACTTTAGATGTTGACATTCTTAAAACTTTGTTCAGTGTTCAGTTTCTTTGCACGATTCTGAGCTGCCTTAAACGAAGTAGGTCACAATGACATACATTTTGTACACGTTACTTTGTTGAGGCCCTGTGGTTAGAGTGTCTGCCTCGGATGCGGGAGGTCGCTGGTTCGAACCCCAACTGAGTATAATAAAGACATTTAAGAATGTTACTATTAGCAGCCTACTAGGCGCTTAGCATTAAGAGGTTAGTGTTAGGACTGGTCGGCCTGGTGTCAGGATAATGTAGCTGAGTGGGACATCAATTTGCATGTCTGAGGCAAGATGTCCCAGTGTTAGACATCACTATAAACTACCACACTGCAGACATCGTAGAAAAATGATTTAAATGTTTTTAAACCTAATAAAAATCCAAATCACACACACTTAACGCTTTAGTTTTCCAACAACTTTATAGTCGTATCTTAATATGTCTTAGAAGACACTTGCATTATTGGGAACCTGCCCAGGTGAAAAAGATCACAGTAAGCCACTTTTAGGTTACTTCTGTGAAGCAGATGAAAGCTCCAGTACTTTCATCATCGCCATCTGGTGTGAAAGTCTGTACATGTGTACAGTTTCAATGCTTATCAACACTTGCCTTTGAATTAGGGCAAATATGTCTGAATATCCAAAAGTGAGCAAATAATGTTATTTTATATAGCAAATCATAAAAGATATACTGCAAGCCAGTTTTCGAGGTGAGATGGGGTGCAGAATATAATTCTTCTTTTAATATCAGCAATACGTTGCCGTTAATTGTTGTTTAGCTTATCCTTTCTGTAATGGAAAAACCCATGTCCGCTACATATGCACATTCCTCTTGTTCTAGAATATGTATTGACCCAGTCTGACTCCTAGGCATAGGCCATGTACAATAGAGCATCAGATTTTTGTCCTCGAATATTAAGACATGTAGACCGCTTCGGTGGCCTAGTGGTTCGATCGTCCCTGGATTGACATGATGCTACATGTTTGCGACACGATGCCCCAGAGATAGCACTATAAACTGCCACAATAGTTATCGGAGCGATATGTCTGAAAAATTGTTAAAGCTACGTTAAAAAATCAAAATCAAAATCTTTCAGAAGACTGACGGACTTCGCCGAGAACAGAGCAGCGTGTGATGCTAGACCTGGCATTTGACTCTAATGTCTCATATGATTAACAAATGGGGGAGCAAACGACCTCAACGAAATCCCCACTTCTGAACCTGCAGCCTCAGGGGTAGGGGACATGGTTACAGGCTAGGAGGAGGAAAGTTGTAAAGTTTTAAAGTACGAGGGGGGGGGCTGGCTGTCCCGTTTTTACTCGCCGATTCTTATATTTTGCCAACCACTGCGCAAATTCTATGATTATAGACTAATGAAAAAGAGCATAACTACTCCCAGAAAGTCTTTCTAATCTGGAAGGAATCTTTGTCACCAGAGCCCGACATCTTATAGAACATATCAACTGAAAGAATGCGGTAGACTTCACTTAACAGTCATATCAGAATCACTTCTCATCTTATTCAACCACCTGGGATGCTTGATGCGAAATGTTTCGAGATCCTTCAAGGGTAGGGTAAACCCTTCCTGCTCTTCATCATCATCTAATTCCTGAAAATCTGTATCACCCTGTACCAAACCTTGGTGGGATGCATCTATTAGACCGGGAATGATCCCTTTGCATGAAAGCCAGAAAGTGGAGTCAGATGTTTTGTGACTCCGAACAGTGAGTGACTGAACGATAGTGGAAATCCCAGTCAAAAAATCGTGGGAAAAGATAGCGACAAGGGTATATTTAACATTGGGAATAATGGGCCTGTATAGGGACAATACAATATTAGGCCAGTATACCGACAATAGGAACGAAACATGTAGGGTGACGTCACGTTACTCGACATTGACAACAATGTTGCAAGTGGCTGACCTCGTTCGGGCCAAACAATGACAGCGGGAAAAAAAAAAAGCTATAATGCTTGGCGGGGCGGGTAAGTTCAGCGGTGAAACTATACGAATAATAACGCTTGGCCAGGCGGGACATATAACTTGATATAACGATTGGCGGGGCGAGTAATTCCAGCTAGTTCAGCAGTGAAATTATGCGAATAGATTGGAAGGTTCCATAGTCAGACTGAGAGATTCCGCCAAACTAGAAATAAGATATAAGTATATTACTGGATTGGCATAAAGAAATGAACAAATATGGCAAGAGAGCAAATCTTGACATATGATTGGCCCTGAAAAGAGCCTTTGTTTTTTTTTGGTTAACACTTTAGTTAACATAGAGGACATCTCACGGATCTTCTTCTCTTCCTCAAACTTGGTCTGACCCCTAGACCGTAGATTAAAACTCTCTTCAGACGGCCTTGTCTTTGCACATAGATTCATTGTTTCCAAAGGGCCGTATTATGGGTAATATCCCATGATAATTTGACAAATATGTGACAGTCCAGGTTGAACAGCATCGACGAAAGGAGAGTAGACGATTCTACGTTAGTCTAGATCTTGTGACCAGAACAAGTGAAATTAATGATGTGAACTGCTGTTATTTATTGTGCAAGATCGGATTAAAACGGATAGTTTTTTCACCAATCCTAATACGCGTTACAAAATTCAGTCAAGATACCCACCCTAGTGATTTCTACCAAATCATCGCAGGTACAGTAGTCGACCCTGGCCTTGGCAAAGGGATAAGGCAGTTGAGGCTGATTTCTTTTACTTTTATTAAGAAAAAATAAAACAAAACAAAATCAAACACCCAACTGTCTTATTTTTGGCTCATCTACTTCTTTCGAAAAGAGACATTATTCATTTGCCAAAATCAATTAAAACTCAAAATCCCCTTTTCCCCATGATGTATGTGTGTGTGAGTGTGTTAAGTGTAGGTCCTTATCCTAAAACAATCATAACAAAGAGGGATTTAAGTTTTCTTTCTGGTCTGTTCTGTTACAAATACACAATTCAATTCACAACACAACACTTTAAAAAGTTTATTAGCTGTTTCTTTTTTCACTCCTTTTTAGAATTTCTTCACTATCGCTGGTTTTCCCTCCTCTTCTGCCTCACTTTCTTCTCGTCTTCTTTTATTCTATTTCTTAACGTGTCTGGGTTCTTCCCTTTGAGAAGGTACATCTTCTTCCTGTTTGGAATCCTTCTTTACCTCCTGCTCCTGTTGTTTCTATGGGCAGTCTGAAAACCAATGTCCGTTCTCTTGACAATGATAACAGATGTCTTGACTTTTGTCTCTTTTGTCACCTGTCTTGCTTTTTTGACGGTCGTGACACTGAAGACCAATGTCCATTCATCTGGCAGATATAGCAAGTATCTTAACTTTTATCTCGAAAGGAGGGAGAGTAGTCCGTCTGCTTTTCTGGAGAAAAACTTATAACACTTTGCAAAGCTCTGATAATAAGTTCGACCTGTGTTTGCTCTTCTATCTTTCTGGTCGGATTGAGAGTGAAATGAATACTTGGATGAAAGACACTTCTATCCCCCCCTCTCTCTCTCTTTTTTTTTATCCCCCCCCCACTCGTTCTCTCTCCCACTCTCTCTTCCTGCCGGTCTTTCTTCCTCTCTTCTTTCTCTTCTCTTTCGCCATCTCTCTCTTCTTTCTCATCTCTCTCCCTGACGCTCTCTCTATCCCCATCTCCCTCTATCTCTCTTCTCTCTCCCTTTTTTCCTCCCCATAGTCTCTCTCTCTCTCTCTCTCTCTCTCTCTCTCTCTCTCTCTCTCTCTCTCTCTCTCTCTCTCTCTCTCTCTCTCTCTCTCTCTCTCTCTCTCTCGATCTCGATTCCCTCCTGCTCTCCCTCCCCCGCTGGAAGTCACATGATGCATCTTGATTCCAAAGACTAATATATAACTACTGTTGTAAACTGAAAATTCCTACGTGCACAGACGATATATAATTTTACCATAATTAATATATGACCACACATCTCCCAACTTCACAATTGTCTGTCAACCTCGCAACTGCATGGTTTATGCTCATTTCATAACTTATCGCCAGTATTTCACGCCTTGAAAATTTACAAATAAACCACTTAATACAGCAAACTATTTTTTATTACGCGACCTTGGGCCAGTCAAATCATAAGGGTTTTTTTTAAAGCCTCATTTTGCCTGTAACTCTACACCATAAATGGAGCCTCTCGACTACGGAACAGTACCTTCTCGTTTATTCCATCATGAATATTGGAGTCACACAATCAATTCATACAATTACATTTTAATAGGGATCATTGAGCTGAGGGACATTCATGATGTGCTGACCTGAACTGACTAAAAATAAACCGTGACATCATGAAATCACTCTGTAACGTTTGCTCCTAGTAATTTGCTAATTAGTCAGGCTGAGGACTATATCGCAGCACCGTCTTCCTGCACTCTTTATCACATTAAATATTTCTATTAAAATGGATGGATGGTACAAATAAACGGGGAGGTATATTCAGAATTTAGCAGTTGCCTTGCTTGGTGCTCCGCATAAATACGTTAGTTTTGGGACTGGTTGGCCTGGTGTCGGAATAATGTGACTGGGTGAGACATGATACAAACGTGTCTGTGACATCATGCCCCAGTGCTAGACAATACTATAAGGAGCCACAATTTGGACATCATAGATAAAGGACTATAATTGTTAAAACTACGTTAAAAATCGACATCGCCCGCACACACACACACACACACACACACACACACACAGGCACGCCTAATTAGAAGATGAATTGAATACATTATGTAACATTTCAAAGACACATAGTCTGGTTGTTAATAAATAATTTTGAAAGATTTTGACAATATATACAAATATTAGGAATTCCAAGAAATAAGCAATACGTAAGAATTTACCTACCTCAGTTACGTAGCGGTAGATTTGTATAAGTCACTCAGTTTAGTGGTAGATTTGTATACGTCACTCAGTTTAGTGGCAAGACTGGAAAGAAGACGTTGACAACGTCGTTTATATAGCGTCATCTTGTCTTAGATTGGTTGCTTTTCCTTCGTTGTGATTGGTCCCAATAACCCAATATGATTGGTTGTTTAAATAATGCTCTGAATCCCAAAAAAGCATGTGCTTTTCCGTCTAGCTAATTTTCAATGTTTTCATCATAATTTGTGCGCGAATGATTGTATTCGCTGTAAATAGAAATTAAACTCTGGTTTCTTATTATAAACTGTCATTTCAACTCTTTTCCAATTATAAACAGCCATTTGAACAAAGTGTGCAAGATTTGTTGTTATGAACCTTTTCTCATTTTTAAGCAAATTAAGTTGGTATTAAAGACAACAAAGTACATATATTTGCTAATTATTTATCAGCATTCTTGATATAAGTATCAAATTTTTCTCAACTTTCAATAATAGTCAGAAAAAAGAATAATAAGCATCACCACCAGGACTAACAACAAAAACGACAGCAATAATTATTAACTAGGGAAAACATTTCTTAAATAGTTATACTGGCAGCAATGGGATTTCAGTCGTAGCTGATATTATTGTGCGATGTGTTGTTAATAGTGAGTGATTTAGATTTTTAACGTAGCTTTTAACAATTTATCAGTCATATCGGTACGATGTCTACAGTGTGGCAGTTTATAGTGATGTCTTGCACTGGTGCATCATGCCGCATGATGTCCCATAAAGTCACATTATCCTGACACCAGGCCGACCAGTCCTAATACTAACATCTTAATGCTGAGCCCTAGGCGAGGCAGCTGTAATTACCATCTTTTAAAGATTCCGATATCACTCTAACGGGGTTCGAATCCACGACCTCCCGCATCCGAGGCGGACGCTCTAACAACTAGGCCACCAGAGCGTTGTTGTTCATAATAGCAATCATTTATTTGTATAATTATTAGAATTATTGACAGTATTAAGACATAATCATTATCATCACCAACAAGATTAGTAACTACTGCTACCACTATTGCTAATATTACTATAGCAAGTCATGTCCCAGTTTTGCATATTGTTTACTGCCCTAAATCTTTCAGTTTTATTTTAATTTTTATTTTTTAAATTTTTATTTTTTAAATTACTCATGGTCTGTACCATTTATAAAAAATAAGACACAGACGGACAGCCGCCTTCTTTGTTTCCAAAGTGTGAAATTTGCTTAGAAGTTTACGGTACAAAGTGTTCCTTTCGCATATTCTGGAATAAATACAGGCTTCATTTTAACAGATTATGACGTGCATTAAACTATTTTATATCTAATGGATTCAGGGTTGTGTGGTCTAATGCGCTCGCCTATATGATAAATATCAGATTTCCAGTCATCTTCGTTAGCCATGATTCCGATATGATAATCATATATACACCTTGGACGATCGAACATATTTAGTACTTTGTCTTTGGGACAGCCGTTGTATTTCATGAGTTGCCTCCCTTAGTGTGTAATACCGACTAACCAACAAAATGTATCAGCGGTGCATTGTGCATCCGCCAAATATGGTAGAAGCAATTGGATTAAAAAGGGTACTTTGTAAGTTTAGCATGGAAAGTATGACTACGTTCCAGAGGGAAGCCATTACAGGTGTATCTGAGTGAAAGGTATTTGTACAAACACGGACAGGCAGCAGAACATTTTTATCAGTCTAGTCAAGTTGTTTGCTCCCCATGTCTTGATCATCTAGGAACAGTGTTCAGATTTGAATAACATAAGTTTAGTTTCATTGAATGCACTGACTTCCGCATCCAATGAAATTCACTGCTCGATACCCCAAGGTGTAGAAAGGTTCATCGTATCGGATGCTTGGCTAGCGAAGATGATTTACACTGTTTTTACATGAAGACCTGACCGCGACCGCAAAGGGGTCATGTTCTGGTGACCTTTGAATTAGCCAATGTAAATGCAGCCTTCAGAAATTTGAAAGTCAATCAAATCGTTCGGAAAACATTGATTCTCTACGGCCATATTACTCCGTCTCTAGAAAGTAAAGTACAAAACTTCATCGGACTGAGTGATACAATTAGCGATCAAGGTAATAACATTGGTCACCAGAACACGATCTCTAAGCGGTCGCTGTCAGGATTTCGAGTAGGTGAGTAGAGACCTGATTGGCACTCGCCTGTACAGTTTCACTCACCTTTGTCCTCGTAAGTTTGAGTATCGGCCAGGTCACGTGGCTATTTGAGAGGCTTGCCGGTAGCTTCCCGGGTGTCGGTGTTTCTTCCCCAGATAAATATAGTAGCGCCATGTAAGGACCACCATATGGTAAAAATGGCGTAAAACTTCACAGAACCAAAACCAAAATGTTTGGACGAAATCAAAGATTGGGAATGGTTTAAAAGACTTGTTACATAGTGACATAGGTCAAAAGAACAGGGATTTCACTTACCATCCCCATACGAAAGTCAGTCGAAATAAATGTTTTACTTACTCGCGAACATCCGATAGTCAGAATAGATTGGAGGGTTAAAGTTTCTTTTTAAGATACGCCCCGGCACGAATGGTCGCTTCTACCATGTAATGAAAAGCGGAGATGTGGTTTAATACAATGCTTAATGGAGAAGAAAACTACCGATTTAGAAATCATGATTTAATACACTCGAATATGTAATAACCAGCAACATTCCTAACATGCATCACCACGATTGCACGACTGAGAGAAGATACCAGATAGTTAATCCAAATATCAAGAAACCAGAAAAGCACCGATACTCAATGTTTCTACTAATAATAAAAGTGTCGGTGATTACAGTTAACAAGTAAGTTAACTTAGAGAATAAATCATTTTAATTTCAATCAAGAAGAATATGCAAGAATGTTTATAATATGAAAGCTTTTCTAAACAAAGATGTACGAGTTTTTAATGCCAATCTCGTCATCAAAAGAAAATAACTTAAACATATTTGCAATACTTCTAAAGTGTTTACATATATATATATTTTTTGAAGGTCCGTGCCTTCAGAGGATACATTTTCTTTCTGATAATGGAGTGGCTTGTGGCTATGAAGTCGTTCGGAAGAGTAAAGGAAATCCTCATGATTTTTCCGCTTGTCAAAACGTATACATGATAGAGAACGTGGCAAATAGAGACCTGTATTTATATAGTTTAAACTAAGCTTTTCGGGCCTGTTCTACTCGAGTTTGTTGTGCTAAATGAGATATACTTCCCGCCCAGCACCTGGTTTTAACAGGTTGCATTGGCAACATACGGCTACATTTAAAATTCGCTTTCCCGCCCACTCCATGAAGGGAGGTGCATATGACTGCACTAAATGAAATAAAAGCTATATCAAAATAAGTAAATCTTACGACTTTTAAATTCACATGGCAGTATATAAATGTAAAATTCAACATTAGCTGAGTATAGTATTAACAGGACAAAGAAAATACCGACGGCCTGACTTGAGAGAAAAACTAACCGTTAGTTTGGCACTTTTGATAACGTCGAAGTTTACTCCAAACTAAAAAAAATATAGAGCAGTTTAGATTATATGCATTCATAAAAATAAGGGTTTAGGATTTGGCATACATTTTCTTACATAAAATACATTCTAATATTGTATGTACAAGTTCTAGTTTTGCTCTTCATTCATATTTTATTTTAATTTCTGAAACAACTTTTTTTTTAAAAAAAAATTGATTTGCACACTAACCTGCGTTGTCTGTAAATGAATAAGAACCAAAGTTGAAAGATGGACGAATATCAGATCTTTTTTTTTTGGCATGGATTCTTTGTGACTAAATTTGGTGTATTCCCAAACAGAATTACCTGTATCAAAACCGTTTAATTTTAAGACTGTTGGTGAGTAGTTGTTAGCTGATACGACTGTAACAAAGCAGCCTAAACAACCTTGCCGTGTGTTTTATGGTGTTTTATGATTTTTAACGTAGCTTTAACAATTTCTCAGTCATATCGCTACGATGTCTGCAGTGTGGCAGTTTATAGTGATGTCTAGCACTGGGGCATCATGGCGCAGACATGTAGCATGATGTCCCACCCAGTCATATTATCCTGACACCAGGCCGACCGGTCCTAACACTAACCTCTTAATGCTGAGCGCCAAGCGAGGCCGCTGTTAGTGCCATTTTTGTAAGTCTTTGGTATGACTCAACCGGGGATCGAACCCACGACCTCCCGCATCTGAGGTGGACACTCTAACCACTAGGCCACCGAAGCGGTTTAAACAACCTTGCGAAATCGCTCTTGTTACATTTGTTACACATATTTTTAAAATATTTTCTCTTCAGGTAAGTGAGGTTGTAATTAAACTCTCAACATTTAATTCGTTCAGACAATGTCTTCTTCTTTATATAATTCACATATTTTCCATGTATAATACTAAGTGTGGTTTCGTGTTTCAAAGCAATCTGTGTCATGTAAGACTGAAAAAAAACCAACTTTTAATTGTGATATTACTAATACAGTGTAGGCGTCTAAACAGTAAAACTAAACCACATGCCGTTAGTAAATCTGAATTGAACTTCGAGAACTTCTAGCGTGCTTTGCTTCCATTTCAACCGTACAAATATTAGTAATCGTATATCGTACATGCCATATAAGTACAAAGCTTGAAATTATTGTTAACAGAACATTCTATAAGCTATCTGACACATGCACATAAGGTCATTCATGATTCATTTATGCCTTCCATCCTTTCTTTAGTCATCCATTCAATGAGTAGGTAAAACCCATAAATATATCAGTAATAGAAAAGCAACTTTGTATGTACGGTTAATAATGTGTCGTGAAGGGAAGTATGTGTGCCAAGTAACTATTAAGTGATTGATTTGTTTCTCTTTGAATTTAAAGGGGAAGGGAAGGAGGTTGAAGACTCAAATAAAAAGTAACGTTCGATTTTCGTTTGAAAAAAAAAATGTGGGGTACAAATATGTGTCGCATACTACTTGAATAGTGTACTACGCTGTTGACAGAGTGGTAAAATTTTTGCGTGCAGTATGATTTTTAATATCACTGACTGCTTTCACTGCCCCTAATTTGATAAAGTGCATCTACAGCATCAAGAAGCATCACTTGTAATTGTCTGCCAATAAAAATGATTCAGGATGTTGTCGTAATTCTTATTGACTCATAATTAACTAGCCAAGGCAGTTCCATGTTCTAGACGCTGGTAAAATTAGGTAATCTCTATTATCTCATAAGGATGGCATTTTTCATAAAGTAACAAGCTGGGAGATGTGTGTGTCTTCAACTTCACTAATAGCCCTAATACCAGCTTCTAAAAGTGCAATGACTGAATTACCAAATACATAAAATGTAAAAAAAAAGTTATCGACTCTTTTTTTTACAATTTACCTCTGACGTTCGAGAAGTGAAAATGAGCAAGTAGAGCTAGCACTTTTTTTAAAGATGCACATCTGGAGTAAGGCCAAGCTGTGTACTTTCTAACCCATATTACACCCATCAATCATACATCAAAATAAAGGGAATTAAAGGTTCTTTGAACAATATCTAAGATATACAAAGTCTATTTTAAATAACCAGTATAACTAGTGAGGAAACCCGTGGAAACTCTTTTTCTTTAAAATTCTAACCCCTATGCTAAATACGAAACTGTAGAGCGCCACCTAAATCATTACTCATTTGAAATCTCTATATCAATAATTGTTATTATGATGCATATCATTTATGACGTTGCGTGAATTACGTAATTGTTATTTTAAACTGTAAAGACGTCTTCCGTTTCCTTCAAAACATATTGTGCCTAAAGAAGCTTACATTAAATGCGAAACTAGTTGCACATAATTATCGGCGTTTGTGTATTTTTTAAACCCAACTATCAAGCGTTTGATTTTTAGAAGATGTGCTAAATCGAAATTTGGAAGTACTCGATTGAGATCGAGACTTTGAAGTACTCATGTGAGATTGAGATAAATTATTTTGCATAAAAGAATGTTGAGAGAAAGGTTTATTGTTAAATACAACTGTGTGATTCAAGTTATAATCATTAGCTGTGCCAGTAGTATCTTCCAAAATTTCCATCTTTTGGTCATCAAGATATACCTTATCACTAGGATGCAATTTTTGAGCTCTTGAAGTAAGATGGACTGACTGGGGTTATTGTAATCTTTATAAACCATTTTAGTAGATTTCCTCCTATCAAACAGTTATTTTCCCTTGCACATTCGACAACAGTTTGTCCAATTTCTCTTCTACCGATCCTAAACCTTTCTCGATATGCATCAGGTACTAACTCCACATCCTTTAAGATGTATTTCTGAACAACATCAGACTCTTTTATTCCAACAGTGAAGTGCAGATACACGCTTTGCCAATACATACCCTTTGAAATAACACAAAGTCCATTGCTCTCTTGGCCATTTCAAATTTTCAGCAATTTTCCCGGAGGGAAGAAAGTATTCATTTACTAATATTTCCTGAAAAGGGGGTACTAAGATGATATTGCTGATAACATCAAAATCTGATCTTATATTTAAAGTGTAAGCGTGCCAGCTCTCTCTCTCTCTCTCTCTCTCTCTCTCTCTCTCTCTCTCTCTCTCTCTCTCTCTCTCTCTCTCTCTCTCTCTCTCTCTCTCTCTCTCTCTCTCTCTTTGTTGACTCTTTCGCTTCCTGTATTTTCATCATTTTGAAGTTTTCTTATTTTCAGTTCCATCTAGGTGTTTAACGTTAATTCCTTTAATTTTCTATTAGACTAGAGAAGACTTACCAATCAAACAAAAAGCACAATCTTACAAAATGCCCTTCCCCGACATATACTGAATAAAAATATTCTTTATCTCTTGCTTTGTTAAAAAGGCTTTCGCTTCAGAAAAATCATAATGTTTGAAAAGATCAAGCAACTCGTCCATTTTCATAGAAACATACCATTCCTGCGTAGGAATTCAAACAAAGTTCACTATATTAGATCACATTATGAATGCCTGCTGGCTTCATTTAGGAGTTATCATATGTATGAAATTCAAATCTTTACCAGGGAAATGAAAATTACGAAACAAAGTAAATTTTTAATGTTAAAGACAATTTTAAGATCTCTGAAACTCTTACCAAATTTAGATCCCGCATAAGCCCCCAATTTCTGTTACAACTCTTTGTCTTAAACCATGTAACTGAAAGAAGTGAAGTCAACAAGTTTCGTAAAATCTGCAAATAATTTATATAATAAGTTAAAAGTGTAAATTTAATAGGCTCTTATAGTATTGTGAATTAAATCCCAAATAATCCTAAACGTTCTATCACAAGTCCAAAGTCTCGAATATTCAGAACAATTTCCAATAGTCTTGATTGTCCTGATGTACCAATAGTTTTAAATGTCCTGATGTACCGCAATAATCTTAAAGTAGCGTTTTAGTCTAAAAATCAATGAGCACTTTGTAATTCCAGTAAATAATTTAAAAGATATATGATTCCACTTAACACAACTGTAAATAACTCTAGAGACTTTTTTAAAACAGAAACGAATAATTTTTTTACCAGATCCCCTATTTACACTGAATGTGACCTTACTAATGACGCAAAAGAATGTTCTGGAAATTTAAAATATCGGATGGGAAATTCCACTAACTCTTGAACTCGGATTTTAAAAAATATCTTGTTAACTTCATATAAGCATAAGAAAAGTCAGGTAGGCAAAGCTCAACAACCTCAATTACGAACATCACAAAAGTCAGGTGCGCAACAAAAATTAAACATTCAAAACATGGAACTTCTAATTGTATACCCTTAATTGACGCCAGGCATGTACCAAGTATGACATCATACTAAAAAGACTTATAACGGCCCCATTTGCAGCCCACCATTTTAATAACGACTTATTTTCACGAAAAACAAAGTACATTGTCTTTTGTGTTAATTTCATACAAAAATGTAACAAATAATCGATTTTAATTTATAATTTTATTTCATTATCACTCGTAGACTACATCTTTAGAACACAATAATGAAGGTAACATCAAGAACAATAACAATAACAACTCCACTATCAATGAAAATCCTTGCCTTACAAAATTAATGCAGTTTCTGCAAATTTGATGAGATTTGATTTGCGACATTTGATGTTCATTTCAATGCATCGACTTCATTTAAATCAGATGCATGATCGATTGATTATTTCATACTCTAAAAAATTTGGTTGTTATTATTATTATTATCATTATTATTATTATTATTATTATTATTATTATTATTATTATTATTATTATTATTATTAATTTTAGTGGCAGTAGTAGTAGTGGTGGTAGTAGTAGCAGCAGCAGCAGTAGTAGTAGTCTCCTGTTTCAGATCTTCTTGATGGTATTGATTTTATTTGAACTAGTTCACTTTAGCTCTGATCACTTCATTTGGAATTGGATCTCAAGAACAACTTGTGAGTATCATTTCTATTCCTAGCAGTGTCTTTTTCTGTATCAGGTCTGGCTTTATTGCTAGTTTAGTCTGTCTTTTAGTGTGGAACCGTTCCGATGGCCGAAGTGGTTAAAGCGTCCGCCTAGGATGAGGGGGATAGCGAGTTGGATCCCCGGGCGAGTCATACCAAAGACTTATAAAACTAGTACTAGCAGCTGCCTCGCTTGGCGTTCAGCATTAAGAGGTTAGTGTTAGGACTGGTCGGCCTGGTGTCAGGATAATGTGAATTGGTTGGATATGACACTAGATGTCTGCGACATGATGCCACAGTGCTAGACGACGTCACTATAAACTGTCACAGTGCTAATCATAGCGATATGACTGGAAAATTGTTAAAAGCTACGTTAAAAAATCTAAATCACTGTCGACAGTAACGCTTCTGAATTCCCACAGGATTTTGGACTTGCTGTTTTCACCCATTTCCTGTTTTGTAATACCATTCTTTTGTGCACTCTAGCTCATAATTTGTATAAAACCGCCAGGCTAGTGTACGAATGTGGCTTGTTTTGTCGTTCACACACCAGACTAGCATGTTGCACTCACTGATAAGGCGATTCACGATCGTTCACACACCAGACTAGCATGTTGCACTCACTGATAAGGCGATTCACGATCGTTCACATACCAGACTAGCATGTTGCACTCACTGATAAGGCAATTCACGATCGTTCACACACCAGACTAGCATGTTGCACTCACTGATAAGGCGATTCACGATCGTTCACACACCAGACTAGCATGTTGCACTCACTGATAAGGCGATTCACGATCGTTCACACACCAGACTAGTTTGCTGC